TCTTAAAATATATTAGTACAAAATTCAAACAAGTTTATCTCTACTGCTCTTAAGATAATACTAAACAAAAAGCTTAAATTTAAGAATTTTCACTATACTCACTCACAAAAAACATACTACTTTATCAAAATCTAAAATTAATAGAACAAATTATCTAATAGATTAAACATGTATTCAATAATAATTTTTCAATTCTAGCTAATATCCTATCTTTAATTAACCAAATTAACTAATAACAAAATCTAAATATTAATAACTCTTCTACTAATAATAATTAAATTTAACATGGCTTAACCAATACAAGTATATTAGAAAACTCTATATAAAGCTCAAGAAACAGAAAATTTAGCATATATTTGATAACAAATAAATGCAGCAACTAAAAAAAGATGCTCAGCTCTTCAAACACAACTAACAAAGATGATCAATAGTATAGATATACTAACTATGTCTTCTTTCAAAATTTTAAAACTAATACAGATCTAATAACTAGCTTTACTCTTATTAAAGAACAAGTTAAAGATTACTTTGACAAATAGACTGAACACAGATTTATTAACTAACAAATCTTTAATATAACTTGAAAAAACTACTATGAACTACTTTCTCTAATTAATTCTTCTTACTATAATAATGTTCTTAACACTATTACAACTAAAGAAATTATCTATACACTAAAAAACCTTTCTAATAATAAAGCATATAGTCTATTAGACATCAGCTATAAGATGCTTAAATATGCTAGTAATATGTTTCTACAATTAGTTACAATTCTACTCAATAAATACCTAATATCTTAAATAATTTTAAAACAATAGAAAAAGAAATATATTTTTCTAATATCAAAAAAGCCAGTATTTAATAGCAATTTACATAATACTAGGCCAATTAGCCTTATCAAATATATCAAAAAACTCTATACAATAATTCTTATAAACTGTCTTAATACTTCTTTAATGTCTAAACAAATTTTCTCTCTACTCAACTATATTGCTTTTTCAGGAAATAGTAACTTAACTTTAATTCATATTCTTAACAATATTATTGAAAACTCATACTATAACAACAAAGAGCTTTAGTTATTATCACAGAATATAATTAAAGCATATAACTTAGTTAATACAGATCTACTAAAAAAATCTCCGAAAAGAATTCAATTTCTACCTCAACTTATTCAAATTATACTTAATTTGCTCTCAAATCACTCCAATAAAGTAATTACTAACTTTGAATTAACACAATCATATATAGTTAGAAATAAAATAGATCAAGGAGAAACAATTACACCTTTGCTATAGCATATTTACTATAATCTTTTAATATCATATATCGTCAACTAACATAAAAGCTATAGCTCAGAAGTCTTTTAGATTACAGATCTTAAAGAGAAAAAAACTAATTAGCTCTAAACATTAACTTCTATTCTAGTATTTATAGATAATACATTGTAAATAGCTTTTTCAAAAAATAAGCTTAAGCAATTTTAATACTTGCTTTATCCTTTTTAATAATAGCTAATATACAAGTTAACTCACTTAAATCTATTCTTAGTACTAATACAAAAAAACTAATACTAATTAAATTTATCTAAAAATATACATAAATTATTAAACATAAAATAAGTAAATATAATATACACGTAGTATATTTTAAAAAGTGTAATTATAATATAACATAGACAATAATACATAGAGATGAAAATTAATTCATGAAATTTTTCAAAAACTTATAGAGAATCGATTCTGAGAATAGATTTTCTATAAGTTTTTTGAAAAATTTTGATAATCGATTCTCATCTCTAACTATATATACTATCTGTTGAAATCAAATTACCTTTTTTAACTAATTTTTTATTATCATAATTTAATGTTTGATCCCTTAAAGCTTTATTATAATGACCAATTTACGGAATTATTTGTATCAATTCAGCAAAGTCAAAATTAGCATTAATTTAACGAGCAATACTAAAAAAATAATCACAGGGTTCAGAACTATGAAACCAATGTAATAATGGAATTTGCAGATAAAATTCATGATATGCTTTCACTAACAAAACCTTTGATTCTGCAAGTGAAGTAAATATAGCAAAACTTTGTTAAGCTAGAAAATTTGTTCGTATTGATATAAAATCTGAATACTTTTTTGCTAAAGTTTTAATATGAAATTTCTACAAATTAAGAAAAAAATAAGCAGTTATCACTATATGAATATGTTCAATAGGAGTGATATTATGATTAAGATAGCTATCTATTAATTCACCTATAGTATAATGCAATATAAATTAAAATATTTTTTATAACAATAACATATAGGATCTTTGCTTCATAAATGACTTTATAGCATATAGTTAATTACTATGCGCCATAAAGTCATTTTTAAGGCAAAAGATCCCATATATTTTATTATATATAATATTTCAAACTAACCTATTACAAACAAATATATTGCAAACTCTTCTATATCTGACTCGACTTCATAGTCTTTTCCAAGACATTGTCTAAAATTTGATGAACAAATGTTCGATATGCTGCATTATCATCCTGCTGATTTAGTTTAATAATATCATTTTTATACATTATTGAATCATGTCTATTTATAAGATTTAAAAAGTATTAAAATTATGCTGACGATTTTCTAAATGTTAATAGATGTGCTTCTGACATAATAATATTTTGTGTAGTCTTTTTTGCATACTTAGAATCTTGTATACGAATTATAAGACCAACTCTATTCAAAATAGAGTATAAAAAATTAATATTTAAACCAGATTCACAGATTGTAACTTTTCTGAAGTCTGAGTATTAAGAATTGATTGTTGCACCTAAAATTCTGTAATTGCACTATCTGACTCTAATGACAAAATATGAAGGTGTAATTGTGGTACTATTTCCTTAATTAATTTTCTATATATTTTTTCAATATCCTCAACAGTATCTGACCCTTTATTTGGAACAAGAGCAATAGCAACTAGCAGAAACTTTAGTAAAGGTATCTTTAAATTATTAATATTAAATTAGTATTTATTTAATAATCATTGTCACGAATTATGGGGTCTTTGTTAAAATATAAATCCTACCAAAATCTACTTATACTTTTTTTTAAATAACTCTAACCTCCTCCTCTCCAAAAAAATATAACAAACTTCACCACAATCCACGATTATTAATCTATACAATAGTATGTAGGGTTTTTGCCTTAGAAATAATCTTATAAAACATAGTAACTACTATGTTCCATAGGATTATTTTTAAGACAAAAACTCTATGTTATTATACTAGTAAAATATATGTATGAACAAATTTGGCAATTCCATTTGATGATTTAATTTTTTCAATTACTCTCAGAATATCTGAGTAAATATTTATGTGTATCTCTTCTTTCAAAAGAACTGATCCAATAATACATCCAAGTATAGATGAATATTTTAGCTGTAGCTTCAGTTTGGTATTATTCATCATCGCAACAATTGGGCTATCATAATAAATAATATTAATAAGTTATTTAAAATGAGCAATATTTTCAAAACAAAGTTCTAAATTGGTTAAATAATCATCATTACTACAATGCAAAGTTCTAATGTTAAGAAATAATTATTAATAAAAATAACAAAAAAATTCAAATAAAGCAAATATTATAAATATAGTCAACTCTAGATTAGAGTGTCAAGTCTTATGTGATTTTAGAGATTTTTCATTGTTCAAATAATGAAAAATATCTAAAATCGCATAAGTCTTAACACTCTATTCTAGTATAATGAACCTACTCCATAACAAACTTTTTTAAAATTATTATAGAGTCGGTATAAGAACATAGTAAACTTACTCTATAAGGAATTTTTGAAATTTTTATTATAAGAACAGTTACAAATAGAGTCAACTGTAAAATTGAAATTTTAATAGTACTAAATTTGAAATTTATAATCCTAAAATTACTAAAATTAACAGTCTTAAAATTTAAATATGAACCATCTAAAATTACAATGAATATTCTAAATTCTGTAATATTTTTTTTTTTTATAAACTTCAAAAATATTCGTTAAGAGTACTATCAGAATTCCAATCTTTCAAATTTAAGTAATAACTATCACTATCATAAATAATACCTAAGTGATTGAATTCCTCTTTCTTCCAGATTTTGATGAAATAAATCTAAGGCTCTTGAATTAATACTTCTTAAAATAATCAAAAAGTTTGTAAACTCTTCACTATACTTCATATTTTGTTTGCCTTTATTTGTAGCTTTTCTTTTAGCAGCATCGCTCATAACTTTGCAAAGTCCTAAAAAGACTAGTGAATTTTTAAAAGCCCTACTTATAGCCTTATCAGCTAATATAATCCAAAGATTTGTTGTTTGATTTTCATTATTGTTATTAAGTAAATTCTACATCTCACAAAGGTTAAGATTTTGAAGATAATTTTTCAAGGAGTTATTGTCTCAATAAAATTTAAAAGTAAATTTAATATTTTCTGACAATGGTGTTTTTCTTGTAATTCTATTACAAAGGTTTTTATCAGACCTAATATAACAGTATTCATTACAAATATTGCCTTTTTCTACAATTCCTGAATATGTCTTAGCATGCATAGCATTATCTGTATTTAGAAACATTTAGAAATTAATAACTTTATAACTTTTTTAAATCAGTATATTATCTATTTTGTACACATAATTTAGACAAATAGCAATCAAAATTAGGCAAAACTTTTTACAAAAAGTTCTACCCAATTTTGATTACTATTTTGTCTGAATTATGGATATTAAATAATAGCAAAATAGTCCAATTCATATAACTTACTATTTCTATCTATTTGCCAAGTAGACACTGTATATAAAACACAATTTAATTGTTGTTTTTGTATATAATCTAGCTTTTTTCTATTGAATTTTTGAAAAAATAATCCTGGAAATATTTTACATGCAACTACTTCTATACGACGTAAACTACTAAACTATGATAGAGTATGTCTTATGTAATTTAAGATTTGCTCAGATTGAAGACCCTAGCAAATTGAATGTTTTTTGGACTTTATTTTATTAACTAATAATTCAGTAATACTTAAGTCTAATGTATTGTCACTCATTTCTACTTCCACTTCATCTATTTGTAACAAATCATCATCATCTATATTGTCATAAATATCTAAATCCTACTTGTCTTCTTCATTATCTGAACTTGCAACTATTTCAGGTTTAAAAAAATTATAAATTGATCTTTGGACCTCTTTAGCTTTACAACTAGAACTTTTAACATATCTTTTTAGGTAGTCCTCCTCCCATTTTTAGTGCAGCTTAATTTTTTTCTACATATATATACAACCTTTTTTAGATTAACAATGTGAGCACAAAATTCATGTTTTAGCAGTCGCTCTTTACTATACTTCTACCTATTTATTATATTTTAATGTTCTTTTGTTTGTAAATATACAATAATAAAGTTTTTAATGTTCTTTCATTTGTATGTCCCAATTCCTAACTATATGCTCGTAATTCCAAATTATGCTCACAACTATTACCTTTGACCTCTTCAAAATTATAATCAAACTCTTCACTGCTACTAAGAGGATCCTTTTTTTCTTCGCTTGGTATTGTCCTATCACTACTTAATCCTAAAGTTTAGACTAACTTAGAACACAAGATATTTTTAGCTACTTACAGATAAATTTTACGTCCTCTCTCTTTTTGTTTATTTATTGTTTTATTTTATTATTATTATTATTATTATTATTATTATTTTTCTTTTTTTTATTATTTTTTTTTTAATTTTTTTTTTTTTACTTTTATTTTGTCACTTATTTAATATTCTAACAATGTTTTTGAATATTTTTTGAATAACATAATGCCTATAACACTACCATTATTACTAATATGAGCTGCTACTTAGAACTTTCAACAGGAGTCCATCTTGCCTTATAACGTATCACACTACTTGGCTCTATTGTTAATGCTGGCTTATTATCCACTATACAATGCTTACAAAGATAATTAAATTTTTAAGAAAGAAATTACAATTTGCTTTTTGCCTTATATATTAATTAAATTTGGATATATGAATTATCCATATTTGGTTAGACTATTTATAAAACTCAGGTCCTTTTAAGGGACCTTTGATTAAATTCATTTGTAACACTTCAGATGACTCTTGACTTCAGCTAATTTATTGATAATATTATAATAAGAGAAAATTTGTTATAAATCATATAAAATTTATATAATTTATAACAGGTTTTATCTTTGGGGCATTCATATTCTAATTTGCACCAAAAATATACATCAGCTCCCTCTAACTATTTTAAAATTTGGCCAAAATTACGCAAATTAACAATTTGACTTTTTTTAAAATTTTGTAAATTCTACGCAAATCTAAGATTTTACATTTAAAAAAGTTATTAGGTTGGCTATGCTTTTAGTTCCCTGATCTATATACTAATTGCTCGGGGTCCTCTACCAATACTAATATCTGTAGAACTTCCAAATGAATTAAAAAAATAAGAATAAGCGAAGATAATGCTACTTGTTCAAAACAATAGTTTTAGCATAGCAATAATACTAAATAAATATATTATAGTATATAGAGCAATATGTATAAATAAATAATAAAATAATAAATATTTTATTTACTACTATATATTATTAAAAATATTATTATTAGTATTGTAATAAATATATCAGCATTACTATTATTAATAACTATATTGATTATACTGATAGCTATTTCAATTTTTCAAAACTATATCGATTATACTGATAGGTAACTTAAAAGTATACAATAGTATCTGGTTTTTTGTACTATAGAATATTTTTATATTTTAATCATTTAATTTATAGGGCTATCAGTTATTTTGATAAGATAATTATCTGTAATTAATATGTGTCTAAAAAGTCTCCTATTTGAGCCAAATTTCTGTTTAAAATAGAAGACCAATTAGAAAATTATAGGAATGAAAATCTAGTAACTTTCTATTTATCTATTATGCAATATTCAGTGATATATTAGTAACCTGATATATGTATAGTATAACTTTATTTGACTAGTGTTAGTATAATATAAATATGTATATTTACATATTTGTATAATATAATTATGTTTTTATTAATTATTTGATTATATATAGCTTCCGTTTGGTTATTTTTTTTCTTTGCTCTTTAATTTTAGTCTGCTTTAAGTTATCTGTTTAGCCAGTACTTTGATTCTGCTAAAGCTTTGAGTAGTTATATTTTAATTAGCTAAATAGACTTTAGATTTAAAAAAGCTTACTAACTAGATTATAAAATATTTTATTACTTTTTTATATTTATATATTCTTTTACTAACTTATAACTTTTCTTATTTTTTTCTTTTAAGCTCTTTCTTTCTTTTCATATACTTGCTTTGAATAATCTGTTTAGTTAGTACTTTAATTCTGCTTAGGCTTTGAGTAATGTACATTAGTTATAGTTTGATTTAGCTTTTTAGTATGTATTAAAGTTAAAAAAGTTTTTTTAAAAAAACTTTTTTTTTTCTTTTTTAGGTTAGGTTTAGGTTTTATAAGTTTATTTTTTTTTTTCATACTTTAAGATATATATATCTTTTTATTTGATATGTTTAAACTTATATATAATAATTTGACTAATCAAATTTCTACTATAAAAGAATCTGACTAAAAGTATATACTCTATATAGTGACTAGTTTAATAGCTAAAACTGAATATCCTGTATTCTTTAATTATATTAACAAAAAAAATAGTATATTTAAAGAAAAATAATATAACTTGTTTGTTAATATAGTTGTTATAAGAAATATTTTAAATAAAAATAATGAAACTACTATAAAAAATAAAAGATAAAAAACTCCTGATATAAAGTAAAACAAGTTTATAAGATAAGATCTTGAATTTTTTTTTTTTAAAAAAAAACCTAAAACTTTTATTATCAGTATATTAAATACTATTGATTACTTATTTGTATCTATATTAATAGGTCAATTCATATATCTTAAAACTACTACTTCAAATATTATAAATTAATTTCAAAAAAAAAAATTATGATATATATTAATATAGAGGAATATGTGTCTTGTAAATTAGTGATACTAATTCTTGATAAATTAAAAATAATAGTTCTTAATAGTATTCTAAAAAAAAATCTGAATTAATTTCTCTTCATATGTATTTTAGGTTTTAGTACAATTTTTTGAAAACTATTTTCTAAAGATATAATTACAATAAAATCAACTAAATAATAGCTAATACTAATAACTTTGTTATAATTATATATAGTACTTTTGAGAATTTGATTATAATAAGAGTTCTATTAGAAATAGTTCACAAATAATTTTTTTTTGCTTTATTAAAATCATCAGTATGCTGATTCTATATATATATATCTAAATTTTTTGATATACTGAAAATATTTAGATAGTATAAACTATAAATAATTTTGAATACCAAAAATATTTTTAAATGCTGAATATAATTTCAGATGTTGAATATAATTTTAGATGTTGAATATAATTTTAGATACAAAAAAAATTTCAGATGCTGAAAATATTATTTATATTAAAAACAATTTTGGATTTAAAAATAATCAACAAATAAGAAAATATATAGTATCTATGAGTTAAGAATTTTATTTTATAAATTTTTTTATTATATAATTAGTTTTTGTAACTTATAATTTTTCTTATTGAATATTTATTAAAAAATCAAATAAGAAAATTTTTTAAAAATTATAAAAATAAATATTTTTAATATAAAATATTTCATATAGTGCTAAAAATATTTTAGAATGCTAAAAGTGCTAAAGATATTGTGAAAAATTACAAAGTAACAAACTTGATAAAAATTTGATCAAAAACCATTTAATTGAATTCATTAAGTTATTGATTTTATTATTACTATATCAGTAATAATTATATTAAATTGAATTAATATATAATCAATTATAAACAATTATGATTATTTTTTTTTTGTTGTTAAAATGGCTTATATTGTTGAAGAAATTTTATTAATGTTTCAAATAGGATTATACATTGATAATCCTTACTGTTTGTAATTACATGAAGAATATACAACAAGCTACATATATAACTTTAGTCATTATTTATTTTAAGTAGTCTGCTATACAGACGTTAGACCACCTAATTGGTTTTATACTATGCTACTATATCTGTAATCTACTTGTGAATTACCTATTTAAATACTCTGTTTATTAACTATAAATAATTATTTTTATATTGACTAAAATCAATTAAAAGTAATAAGTCAAATTAAAACTATTTTTATTATTCTATACTAAAGATTTTACAAATTTTTAAATCTTTAGCTTATATGTACTAGTTATTTATTATAAACTTTAAACTAAAGACTCTTTTAAACTAAACTAAGTAATTTAAAATTAAATTTTACAACTATATAGAACAAAAGAAAAAGAAAAAATTTAGTTTAAAAATTAAATTAAAATTTTGCTAATTTTATATAATTTAAAAATATAACTTTGTGAAAAATATATTTTTTTTTAATTTTAAAGTAACTATTACATATAAAATTATACTTTGAACATCTTAATTTAGAAGAAAAAAAATAGATTACCTTAGTGAAAAAAGTTTACTATATATTAAATATAAAATTTTTAATTTATATATATATATATATAATTTTTTTTTTTATTTTACTAAGATAATCTACTTTTATCTTTAAGTAAACTTGTTTAGTAGAAAATTTTATATCATATAGTTTTTACTACTTATTTTTACTAAGTAAAAAATTTGATTGAATTTTCAAAAAGATAAAAGTGAATTATCTTAGTAAAAAAAAAGTTTTATATAAATAAACTAAAATTTTATATTTAGTATATAGTAAACTTTTTTTCACTAGATAACCTAATTTTTCCTTTTAAAAAAAGATGTTTAGAATATAATTTTACATGTAATATTTACTTTAAAATTAGAAATATATATTTTTTACAAAGTCATATGTTTAAATTATAAAAATTAGCAAAGTTTTAATTTAATTTTTAAGTTAATTTTTTTTTTCTTCTTTTGTTTTATATAGTTCAATAGTTGTAAAATATAATTTCAAGTTACTTAGTTTAGTTTACAAGAATCTTCAGCTCAAAGTTTATAGTAAATTTATATGTTTTTATTATAATATTTATTATAGACAACAAAATGTCTTATAATTGATATGGCCCGAAGAACCGTTGTTACTATTGTAAATTGGGAGAGCGGATAACGTTGCGCAGTTTAGCTCCAATAGTATCTCACTCAACTAAGT